AACAAAATATAATAATAATAATTTTGTTATTAAGCAGGCGAAATAACTACGTTAAAAGCATTTGCTGTGGCACGAGAATWAGATTGGCGCACGCAAAAGGTGAGTCCACCAAAACAGAAATTCTATACAAAGCATAATAAAAACAACAAAAAATTGCAAAAATTACTGCATGAATCCCTTTGAGCCGCTTGCCTTTGCTTCACTCGCTGGTGCGACGTGACGTATGCGCAACATTTTTAAACATTTAAGTAAGCCGCCAACAGCAGGCGTGCGACCCATACAAACATACCTTCGAATAAATGCGTATATATCTATAGGTTCATTTATATACATGTTTATATGCATGTTTATTTGTACGTAGGCACTGGGCGATAACGAGAACACGAACACGAGATTGAATGTCACGCATACAAGCTGCCCCTGCTTTCCTATTTGTGTTCGGTGTATTGTGTACGTGTATGTGTGCTCGGCTTGTAACAACAATTTTGCTTGTAACTTTATGTATAAATAATAAAGGCAAAGTGAAAAGAAACAATAACAATTTTAAAGCATCTCACGCGCACCAACTACAATGGCCTCATAAAACCGCAGATTTTTTGTGATTTATACCCACTCTGCATGCGCCGTTAAAGGTCCATATTCGTGATGGAGCCACAATGGCTTAACCGCGCGCATGTGTGTACAGCGTGCTATAAACTAACGTATTAATAAAGCTTTTTCGTGCAAAGTGAAGCCTGGCAGGTTCATATTCTGCACAATATGTTTACGTGTGTGTGTTGTTACACTGCAGCTTSGCTCGATTTGCGTTTCCTATAAATAAATTCAGCGTATAAATTCTTAATTTTCGGCTGAAATTCGAGCTATTGCAGTGGTGTGCTTTTATGGCGGAAAGTAAAATAATTTTCTCAATCTATTTTCAATTTTTTTTTTTCTAACTTTTTGCAAAGTTTTTGTCGTTAATTTGGTGTAAACATTTGAAGGGTTTTGGATTTTTGAGTAAATTCCTTTCATTTGCAGCGCAATGTAAAAATTTTTTGTGTGATTCAACTACTAATTTTATTGATTGTAATTTATTTTGAAACGACTTTTTTACTTCAAATATTKGTTGTCTACAATTACATTGCTATATTATTATGTTTTTACTACTCTAAATATAGTCAGTAGTTGCTTCAGATAGAGTTTCTAACTAATTCTAAAACAACTAAATTTTTTTTGCTTTAAATTTTCACTTCGAAGCAAAGCAATAACATTTGTTGGCAATTGTGATAAGAAAATTTAACTTTTGCCATCTATTATAATTTCGAAAATATATTTATGTAATATTAGAATTTACTTTAAAAATTAATTAAAACTTAATGTCAAAATTTTTTCTTTRAGGTGTTACATGGGTTTRCGGGTTTCAAAAAATCGRATTTATATTCATTGAATTTACTAAAAATTCTACAACACCTATAGAATATTGCCCTTAATTTTCAAGTTGATCCGATKWATAGTTTCGGAGATACAGCSTTGAGAACTTGTGCGCTCGARGCTAGCTAAGCTAAGTGCGCGTTTTTCTAGAAACTGAGTTTTTGAAGTCTGCTSACAWSATTTCTCGAGAAATACTTAAYCGATTTTCTYCAAATTTTACAYAGGTCTTTRAKRYGMKWYT